TTGCCAGTGAAGACTGAGGCAAAAAAGTTGTGGAGTACCTCAGCCTTTTCCTCGTCTGTTGTTACCAGTTTGCCAGTCTTGCTCATCAGGAGGGGGAATGCTTTCTCTGACCTTCCTTTTCTGGCTGCCATACCTGTAGAAGCCCTTCTTATTATTCTTTGCATCCCTTGCCAAGTTCAGCTCCAGCTGTGCCTTGGCCTTCCTGACCCTACCGCTACACAACTGGGCCAATGTCCCTATACTCTTCCCAGGATACCTGTCCCTGCTTCCACTGCCCATGCATTTCCTTCTTGCCCTTTAGTTTGACCAGCAGGTCTCAACTCATCCATGCTGGTCTCTTGCCTTCCTTTCCTGATTTCTTACACCTGGGGATCAAGAGCTCTTGCACTCTATGGAAAGGATCTTTAAAGATCTGCCAGTTCTGCTCTGCTCCCTTGTCTCTGAGGGCAGTTTCCCAGGGGGTTCTATTGACTAACTCCTTGAACAGCTGGAAGTTTGCTTTCCTAAAATTCAGGGTCCTGACTTTGCTCTTTGCCTGACCCTTATCCCTCAGAATTGTGAACTCCACCAATGCATGATCACTGCAGCCCAGGCTGCCTCCAATCTTGACGTCAATGAGTAGCTCACTTGCGTTAGTGATCAACAGGTCCAGTATCTCATCCCCTCTGGCAGGGCTGTCTATTGCCTGGCTTAAGAAGTTATCCTCAGTGACTCCAGGAGTCTCCTGGGTTGCCTACAGCTCGCCGTGCTACTTTTCCAGCAGATGTCGGGGTGGTTGAAGTCCCCCAGCAGGACAAGAGCCTGTGAGAGCAATGCCCCCTGTTGCTGGAGTAAGAAGGCTTTGTCAATAGGCTTCTCTGGATCAGGCAGCTGTAGTAGACACCAACCACAAGGTTCCTTTGTTGCCTCCGTCTCTAATTCTTACCCACAAGCTTTCAACCTGCTCATAGCTGTTCTTCAGAGACAGCGCTTCACACTCTATCCATTTCTTGATGTAGAGGGCAACCCCTTGGCCCCTCCTTCCTCGCCTGTCCTTTCTGACCAGCACACAGAACTAATTAATACAGAACCTGGCTAGGAACTCTTTTCTGCTGGGATAAATCAATACTTTTATAGACTGGAGTATTAATAATGTGATTTCATAGTTTGCTAAATGTTACATTTTACTTACAGCTGTTAATTGCCTTTTTAGAAAGAAATTATAATAGGTGGCTATAAACATTCTTTTGCAAAATGCAAATTCCCTGACAGATTCTAAACCAATATAGAAGGGTAGAGAAGACAGCACAGTTGCAAGACTGTGCTCTTGCACCTTATTTTCAAAATTTACAGATATGTTTTCTGCTTAAGTTCTAAGAATGCTCTACATAATCTGTACACAGGAGCACTTGACCTGGACTGTGGAACATGGGAAATATGTATTATGTCGTGGGTACGTATTAAGAACAGTACATACAAAAGGTTGATAAAAATTTGGAGGGCACTGAAAACTCAACTAATCTGAAAAAGCTTCAGACCTAGCCAAGAATCAAAGGCACTTAATAAACAATATTCTAGAGAAAATGTCCGTAAAATAACAAAGTACAACTGCATAATCCTGCAAAACAGACTGAAATCTGTGGATTGGCGTAAATTTTCTTCAAACGCTTCCCAAGACAAAAAAGCAACCAGTTATTTCAACAGTGTATTTGGAAGGTACAGCACCACTACTTGAACATTCTGTTCAGCAATTTACAAAATCCAGGCTGAGATTACACTGCTGTAAGAAAAAAAACCCAACCAATCAGGAGTTTATTTAAGAAACTCTAACCCCCAGAAATGTTAATACTAGCCTTGCTCAAATTACTGCATGTTGAAAAACTTTGTTCTGCCTCTTACGTCATTATTTTCAATGAAGAATGCTATTTTTCACCTAAGAAAAGATAAACACACAGATCTCATTCTTGCATTGCATTATTAGCATAAAGATATTCAAAACCAAACCAAAGTGCTGCTTTCAGAAATTCTACACTAATGCCACTGGCAGCTACCAAAGTCCTGTCTGAACAGCTAAATTTATGAATTGTCAGATTTTCAGAAAAGTTATTTCCAAGAAACCAGATGTGGATTAGCAAGGATAAAAGGAGCCATCTTTAATTTAAGAACAAAGAACATTATCTTCTTCCATTTATTGTTTTTACTGTTTGTTTATTTTAGGCTAAGTCAGCATTGAGGAAACAGCTCTGAAAACCCAGTCAAGTCCGTGTCCCCCCCATATTCCCATCTTTTGACAAACAAAATTTATTGAACAGAGAACAACGTCTCTTGTTTCAATGCTTTGTCCACCCCACTTCCCCATCTGATTGAAAAATCTGTTTTTAAGATGCAGCCACATGACTGAGCTCTGGCCAATGTAGAATAGATAATACTACTACTATTTTCATGCAAGTAACTTTTGATGTACATGTTGCTGGAACAAAGTCTGCCTCCAGGATTCTAGTGGTCTAAATGAGTGAAGAAAGACAGGATAATGGGAACATTATGCATATTTATTTCACTTTTATTAGACAGCTATCCTTCTACAGGGGCTGAAGAGTTGTCTGCTCCCGCATAAAGCTTTCATCACTGACCACAAATGGTGAAGAGACCCACTAGGTGTCAAAATCTT